AAGAAAAACAGTAAGTTCACTTCCCATTCTGTGAATGGGGAAAAGAAGTTTGAATAAAAGTTTGAATGGCAGACTGGGATTTGCTAAATGAAAAAGGTGGACTTGAAAAGAAGAATGATTTGGGACATGATGTGGGAGAAAAGATTCCTGCAGTGCAAAATGTGGAAGTGAAATTAATTTATGCAAAGCATCAGAAGACAAAGTACAGGACAGAACAGAATACAAACTAGTGGTTGGAGAAAATACAGGACTGGGAAAAAAATTATTAGAACAAGTAGAACTTGCTGCAACTGCAAGTGATTATGGTGTGACTAATGCTCACGCTCATGTTTGCAGTGCAGTGTGTTAGGGAAATACTAATAAAATACAGTTTGCACTGAATTAGTTTTGTGAATTGAAATGGCAACTTAAGTGTATGTCCAGAATTCCAATACAGTACACCTGAAACAGCGCTTAGTCTTGGGTAGTAAAATAACAAAGACAGGAAAGGAAAGGAACTTGGTGAGCATTCAGATATAATGATATATAACTTATAATTAGGATTTCAAATTACATATATTTGGTTTGTTTAATAACCACTATGGGAATAGAACTATGATACATTTTTAGTTTCTTCTCCTGTATATTTTTGTTATCCATCAATCTGCATATTTTCAAGATGTAAACAACGAGGAGGAATAGTAATACTGAATATAAAAAGAAATTCCAGAACAGTGAAATTCAGGGAAAACCTGCACAAGAAAAACGTTGCAGTCTCTTGTCATCTCTGACAGGTAACCTTGAAATGTCTGAACTGGCTCATTTTTCAACATGCCAGTCAAATACAAATCATAGCTTGTACAATGTCTGTCATTTAGTACAAAACCATAGATGATTTGTTTCTTGCACTTTCAAATGGGCTGTCTTAACATCAGAAAAATTAAAAAGCCTCTTAGTCTTTTCTTCTATATGGCAGTTTCTGATAGCTTTTGTACTTCAGGTTGTGTTGTCAATACAGGTATCTACATCAAGTTGCGAACATATGGAAAGAGTAAACCCGATGAACCATTAAATGAAATACATGTGATACTTCTTTTTTTTCAATTTTCTTGTGTTATTTGTATGTCTTGAGTTTTGCAATGTGACTGAAAATCTGGCATGCTGGATACAATTGCTGCTGTGGAATATACCAGGTTGATAGGAGTATACATACTGGACAGTACCTGCTGGTCATCAGTAATGGACGATTAAGAAAAGAATATGAAAGACAGGGTAAATGTAGGCTTTTTTTTTTTTTCCTCCTGGTAACTTCTTTGCTGCTGGTAGAACATGGTTTAGGTTTTCCTGAGAACAAGGTTGTAAAAAATAGGTCATTATGCTTAATAGAAGCTAATGGAGTTCTGTACCTTCTGTATCTTTTGAGTCTATTTGTGCTTTCAGCCTCCACAATATCCTCTAGCAATATGTTTCACAACTGAGTTATAACAGTGTTTGTAGAGCAAGGAAAAATTTTCTCATCCTAAGTGAAATTTTCAGATATTAGCTATATGTCCTGATTCCTGTGTTTGTGGGAGAAAATAACCACCTCCTTTTCATATTTTGCATATCTTTTATTAGTCTGTTAGGTCTTTGCCTCTGTCACTTTTTGTCTTGTGCTCTCACTAAAGGTTAAAGAGTTTTAGCCAATTGCATATGAAAACTATTGATCATCCATATAGATTTTTGTGGTACCTTTTATTACTCTGAGAACTTTTTTCTGCTACGTTTTCAGTGAACTTCAGGCAGTTTTCAGAATTGTTGGTGTGTGGCAGAATAATGCTATGAAATGGTAATGTTTGTGTTTCCTATTCCATTCTTAATCATTTCTGAATTCTAACTTCTTTGACTTGCTATTGAGCTAGGGAGGTTTTTTACTGGATGTGTAAGAACGCAATGTCAATAAACCTTATTCAGGTACATATTGGTCACTTATTTAAATAATTTGATTTATGGCATTCTTGTACAAGTCACATTAATTTTTCCTAAAGTGTAATTATCCCTGTGAAAATGTCTACTAATCTAAGTGGTTTGTAGGTTAAGTCCTAGAGTTATTAGTTCTGAAGAACATTTATGGGATCTTTGAAATGATTTTGAGGTGGCACAGGAAAGTGCTGTTCATTGACACCAAGGCTGGGGTATATAACTATCAGTCATCTGTCAAGGTGATGTTATTCAGGAAAAAGTAGCTGAATTTAATTTGGAGAAAAAAATCGGACTTTAAGTAAAGATGAATATGTGATTTCTTCCTATTCTACCTCTCCCTCTGATGTATATTGAAAGAATAATAAAAGATTTAGCAAATTTAGTTTGCATTGTCTCTTTGGAAGGTTCGTGTTGCTAAAGGTAGCATTTATATGTGTTCACAAGTTGATTACAGTGACATCTTTAACTTTATTTTGGATGGAGAAGGCTAGGGAAAGCTGGCATGTGATTTATAAAGGTACTGCACTGAGCATCAGATGATCGGAGTTTACCCTGTGCATGCTGTGCAGCTCCAGAATGACTCAGTGCTTTAGCTTGGCCTCTGAAGAATGGGGATTTTGGTACTTTTTCCTGTGCTGTGTAGTCAGGATTTGACTGAAGAAAAAGATGGGGTTTATTTCTTTAAGTAATTGCAACTGTTTTGTTGTAGATGCCTTGTTAATAAAGTTCTTCTTAAGCAGCAATAAGCATATGTGCAAGGGGAATATATCTGCTGTGCTCAAGAGTTCTGCACGGGTAGATGTTGCCTTAGGGGAGTGTCAGATTTTATCTGGGAGGTTTTTTTGTGTCTAATGCAGTTTCTGATGTACTAATGTCCTCATCTCGGATCGGATCTATTGGCCACAGTACAAGCAAGCATGGTGTCCTTAATGCCTCCTTTGCTCCAAAATAGGCACCTCTTAATTTTTTTTTTCATGGTGAATTAAAATGTGCAGAGGGATTGAAACAAAGACTGGAGTTTTACTCAAAATCAGGGAGCTAATCTATAGGGATGTTGTGTGCCTGTAAGAGTATTGCTTAAAGGTAATCTGTTGTCTAGTCAGAGAGTCACAGACAGGTGAGTCCTCTGCCAGATATTATGATCCTAGGTCTTCAGGGGAGAACAGTAACTACATAGATAGTACCAGGAGGGGAGTGGGAAACGCACACCCACTTACACTGTTATCCAGGGAGAATCAGAGGCACAGGACATGCTTGGGAGATGAAGCTAGGCAGATCCTGAAAAGATAAGTGGTAGAAGCAGAAAGGCTTTGGGATATAACTTTCCTGCTGCCAAACTGCAAAGCTATTTTGATTTTCTAGTTACTTTTCTGCATTACAAATATGACAACACAGTGATACATACCACAGAAAAATATAAATGAAGTACGTGTCCAGTAGACCTTGAAATTTAAAATACATAGAAACAAATCTTGCAGCAAGAATTTTAGTTTCATTGTTTCATTTAAAGTTAAAATAAAGCCAAACAAGTGAACAGTATACTAACAACAACAAAGTAAAACGTGAAAGGAACTTATGTCTGGTTGGAAAAGTAAATTTTAATTTCATTGTTTAAACTGAAAAAAAAATAATTTGGCTTCATCTTGTTTATTCAGTTCCTCTACGTAGAGTGGACTACCACTATTTAAGAAGTCTAATTTCTCAAGTATTGAAAAATAACTTCAAAATTTGCTGAATGTTCTTGTCATTATCTTTTCAGGAGAGTGCTGTTCTGCTCAACTATATAGATGGCAATAGCTATGTATTTTACTTTGTACGTTTCTAGAATTACTCAAATGAAGTCGGAATGTATCAAATCATTCCACCACCAGTTGCTGTAGAGCTCAGGACAGATCCACTGCGTGAACAGGGGAATTTCTTGCCGTATCATTGAATGATCAAGTTCTTATTGTCCTAGGGAGCCTCCAACACTGTTGTAGGGCAATAGTAGGGGAGGGTGTTTTTCACTATCCAGGAAGCATAAAGGGAAAGATATGCCCACTTATCAAAGAGTTTGGCAAGTCATAGAGATATTTATGAACAGTGGCAGCAGAAGCAGTCTCTTGTGCCTCAATTTATTTTTAGATAGAAAGGTGTTAAGCTAAGCCTGCCTTTCCCCGCCCCCCCGGCCCCTTCTTCTTCCCCTCCCCTCTTCCCTCTTTGTCCTCATTTTAGCCTGTTGGATATACTGCCTTACCAGGTTGAGCAGATGTATGTCGCTGGGTACAGCCTTCCTTTTTTTCAGGTCTTTTACCTGACCATTTTCGTTTAATCTGAGGATGTTTTTGTTAATGAAAATGTTTCTGTCCTGTGTAAATTCAGTGTCTTATGTAAATAAAGACTGTTGTGGAAAGTCTTAACCTAGTGTAAAGAGTGTACTCTCTCTCAAGAACAGCATTAAAGCACTGAATGAAATATAGCTGTCTCAAAACACTTTATGGCTAAAAAATATTAAGTGTATAGCAGGATGTTTCTGGATCATGCTTGGCTACATTCCACAAGGGAGATTTTTCTTATAATTCTGTACTGGCATGTGTGAAATACGTTGTCAACCTTTTTGTAAAAAGTCACTAAGGAAAAACAGCTTTCTGAGAAATTGTCTTGATAAGAACCATTCAGTGTGATTTGTCAACTCAGAGAGAGGTCTGTTAATTTCTGGATGTTAATAACAACTGCTTTTTGTTGGCACTTTTGGTCAATGCTGTGGCAAAGATCTCCTGGTTATTTACATACTTGTGATATCTGAACTTTTCAAGAGCAATTCAGAGAGAAAGTAAATGTGACTTCAGCAAAGAAAGTTACCTAGTGTTCCAAATTAAAAAAAAAAGCCTCTGCTATTGTGAGAAAAGCTGTTGCAAGGAGGTGGTTGATATTCTAATAGTAATCTAGCTAGGAAATGACAAAGAAAAGACACCAAATTCCAATACATTTCCAAAAATTTTAAAATTGGGATAGTATTTCACTGTAAAATTATGACTAAACACTTTTGTTTTAAATTAGCAACTTCTTCTTTTTTCAGGAAATTTGGAGAGCGACCTCAACCGAAACGGCTCACCAGGTAAGCATTAAAGAAACTGTGTTTTTAACAATTTTCTAAAGTTACCCTTTTCATTTTCAGAAGGATTTCTAAGTTAAAAAAATATGGCTTGCTAATCCTAGAATTCTAAATATCAAAGCTTTTCAATTATTGTATGCAATCAGAAGCCAGAAGTAAAATTTTGAACAGTGAGTGGCTTGGTTTTAATATGATACTCAAAATGCCTTTTTAGAAACAGTATTGACTTCACATACCAGTTATTGTAGATTGTTCAGTAGGATGTGAATCTGCGTAGTTTTAAATCACCAGGAATGAGCCAGGTTTCTTTTATTGGGTAAAAGTGTCTTGTGAGGTCATGTAAAATAACACTTTTTACTGCCAAAATCCAGCTATTACGTTACTGCTGTCATGCAGCAGGTAAGAGCAAAATGAACACAGTGCTGTCAAGGAGTGATCTTAACCAATTTTTGGTGAAACCCAAACAGTCAGAGATAGCATTAAATAGTACCATCTAGTCGATCTATTCTGAGAAGTGTTAAGCGTGATTGGAGGGAGTGCCATGCCTGATTTGCTCCTGGTCTGCCTGGGAAGTATTTATACTAGAACCTGTTAACTAGTCACCATTTTTTCAAACTGTTGTAACACAGTCTATGCAAATTTTTATTATTCTGTGCTACAAACTGTGCTGATTATAAGTAGCCACTGAGTTTAAAATCCACTGTTCGCTTGAATTATAAAAGATGTGCAATTTTTTTATAGTTTTGTGTGGCAATAGTGCTGTATAAAGACATGGAAACCCATTGTCGCTCTGGCCTACTTCTGTTTTGAATGAAATTATGGTGCCTCATGTAAAGCACAGGGTGGGGGAGAGCATTTACATTTTGTGTTGCGGCTGTCTCATTGCATTTCTGGGTAAGCTTCAGGTTAACCTATGTCATTGTTAAGCTTCATTTAATGCAAAATTGATCTATACTGACTTAAGTAATTGAACAAACATTGCTGTTTCCTGTTGGCCTACCTATTTTAAGGGGTATTTGAAGATACCAATTTTTAAGTAATGAACTGCTTTCCATCTTGAGCGCCTTTTCCATCTTTAACACCTGTTAGTATCACCCCGAAGTTACTGATAGCATTTATCTTCTACGATTTAAAAAGAACAACAAAAGCAATGACTATTCAGTGTAAGGTGTTTTAACTAAGTTACCTATTAACTACAGTGCCTCTAAATTTCATGTGCAGGATTTTAGCTACTAGATGTGGCAGGTACGCTTTCCTGTGAGTACAGGGTAGGCATCTGGGAACTGCTGGCCATCCTTCAAAGCAGTAGTTTGCAAACCTTTTGTATACTGATAGAGGCTGGAAATGAGCAACCTAACTTTCTTTCTCCGAAGAGAAAAATGCTGAAATGGAAAAACCGTCACACAAGTTTTTAAGAGTATGATTTGTTTGTGTAATTCTAAAAAATGCATCTGTAAACACTTAAAGGCATTTAGTTCAATTATTGGAAAACTATTCTGCTTTTTTGTGTAAAGTAGTCCTGTTTGTCTAATAATCTATTCATCGTCATGCAAGCTCCAGTGGAACAACAGTACTTTGTTCATACTGTACAAGTTGTTTTTAGATGTAAACTATAATAGTACTCCCTTTGTGGAGAGTGTTAAGATTTAATAATGAAAAATGTCGTTTAAGAATTGCAATGATTATGTGTTTTCTTTATCGGTGGGAGGGGTTGAAGGGGAACATTCCTAGTTCTCCTAGGAGCTTGGACTGTACAAGTCCACTGTAGCAACAGACCAGTAAAAAAGGCAGAATTTCTTCCTCATACAATGCTAAATAAACATTAGGTAGCACCTAGCGTTTTTGTGCATGGGTTACTGGTTTTGAGTGTTTTTTAAAATGGTAGTCAACTCAAAAGTTTTTAGTATGATGGATGTTCTTAATTTAGTATGACAATATTCTTAATAGAGTATTTCAAATTGTTAGATAAAAAGTTTTTAAACCACTTAAATGCAGCTAATATATATCATAAAGAAATGTGTAACAATAATTTCACAGTGAATTATGTTTTGTTGTTTGAAATATATTCTTCAACAATGGTTGGAAATAAAGTAAGACTGTGTGCTTTGAGAGTGTTCTTCCATCTCTGCTTTCATGGATAAACATCAGTTTTACCAATGTCAAATGTAAATTGATCAAGTTAGTCCAAATTTAAAACAGTAATTCAAGTCTTTTCTCTTATCTTATATCCTGCTATTTACACAGAAAATCTAGCACACTGATCACTGTCTTATCCAGGCATGACAAATGCAAGAATTTACAAAACATCATTAGCAAAGCTGGATTGTTGTTGTTGTCCGACCACCTTCCCCCCACCCCCCTCCCAATCTACTTGCTTTCCTCTGTGAAACTGGTTATGGAGATTTCTTTTAGAAAAGGTCTTGTCACCAAAATATTGCTTTTTATCTTCCATCTTTTTTCACTGGACATGTTTGGGTTTGTAGACCTGTCTGAAGGGAATTCAACAGTTGGGTGCCATTCACAAAAAAAAAAAAAAATCTTCCATTTTTTTTCAGTGGACATGTGTGTGTTTAGACCTCTGTAAGGGGATTAAAAAATTGGGGGCCCTTACAAAAAAAAAAAAAAATCCCTCTTCTGTACGGTTTCATCTCTTCCTATAACTTCCTGTTAAATTCATAATTTGTTTCTCTGCTTGATGACTTTGAATATGTGTGCATTGGTGGGCATTCAACCTGCAAAAGCTCCTCCAGGGACTTAAAAGTGTTCTGTCAGCACTCCGACACAGCTAAACCCTAGAGTGTTGAATTTGGCATGCTGCTTAATGAACAGTTAGATTATTATACAGAAGAATGATAGGGTGTGTTGTTCTCTTACTTCTGTCAAGGAATTGCTGTTGGTGTGTTTGAGGTAATTATAGCTTTTATATGATGTCTGTCATTACAGTGATGATGAACAACAAAATCTAATAATTTTTTTTACCTGATTGTATGCAGGAAATAGAGGCTTTCTCTAGAAAACTAGATGAAACAATAAACTGAAGAATTTAACTTTTTCATAGTATCTTCACAATCAAAAGAAAACTTTTATATAAACATTGCACTGATTTAGTTAATAGCTTAAACAAAATTTCAGAACAATTTGTCATTATCATGAGAGAATAAATTGGTTAAGGCGACAATATTGAATTAATAAAGCATGTTCTAATCAAATATTTGTGGCAAGGTACTTTATAAAATCAGGCTTTGAACATGGTGTAGTGATTGGCATTGGTACAATTGTACATCACAAACATCTTTTTTTCTGGGAAATGTAGTAATTGTAAATGACCACAGACCCGTACTGCTAGCTTCATGAAAGATAGTTGCTGCTTTTTGCTGTGTAATTGTCTTAAAAAACTAAACAAACTCATCTTGACCCTATTAATGGTTGCCTTTCTTGAATTTAGGTGGGTTTTTTTGTCCTAAAGTTGGTTTTGGATTATTATAGTTACAAACAAACAAAACCAAAGGAACTTTCAAAGCTTATTTTGTCTTTTAATTTTTAGGGAAGCAATGCGAAATTACCTAAAGGAGCGAGGTGATCAAACAGTGCTAATACTCCATGCGAAAGTTGCGCAGAAATCGTATGGAAATGAAAAAAGGTAAGTGTCTATTCTTTCCTGGCTTTCCTTTACAGCTCCTAGCTAGGGAAACTATAGTGTGTAGTACACTGCAGAATTCCTCAGTTTGCGCTATAGTCTGAAGAAACATAAAACAAAATGTGTTCTTGTAAATCATTTAATTATTTAACAAATGCTGCAGACCTGTGGCATTCAATGTAGTGATGCCTATTTCTACCAACAGGGTTCTCCATCTGTGGGTGAACTTTTTCTTCCATTGAACTAAAACGGCTCTAATTTTAAACCTTCCATTTTAAGTCTGGAGTAAACAAGGTGATTAACGGAGACTATTTGTAGAGGAGTTTTCTCCTGAGTTAATTCAAATTAATATGAAGGAGAAATTGCTAGCCTCAGTAAGATACTTTTCTGAATCAGATCTGTAATAGCGTTAAAAAGAATGACAGGTCAATCATAACCATATTCATGATAAACGTTCTCTCGTAGAAATACAGTACAAGCTACAATAATAGGTAGTTTTCTAAGGGACAGAATCTACAAGAAGACGTGAGGATGAATGCCTTTTAGGCAAAGGTGAATTTCCTGCAGTCTTCTCTATGTGATGTTTTTATGTGTCAGTAGAAGCAAATAGGATGGTCCTTCATATACAGATTTCTAGTCTTCTCATGATGAAATAGAATTTTCTTTAAGTATAAATTATAATTTTCTACCATAAATTTCACTAAAATAAATAGCGCAGTATTTGGTTAGTTTTCAGACACTTTGTTATTAATATTTTTTCACCACAAAAGAGGACATATTCAGCATGTTAATGGTTTTGAAGTTTTAACCTTTCTTTTGCCACTGTTGTGTAAGTCCTGTTACATCATTATGTTTTTTACAGTTTTCTGAGATTTGAGATTTTAACACATTTACGTATGAAAGTGTTAGAAAACAGGAATGTTAGAATTAAGCCTGCAAAGTTCTCGGTTTGTTGCTACCAATCTAAATCACATTTCCTGATGTCTGTGAATCACAGAGATGCAGACTATATTTTCAACTGGTCTTTAGTATTCTGTGCCTGAGTACTTGCCATTCAATGTGTCATCTTTTCTGTTAGCCAGTGTGTCAAGTACGTTCTTTTGGGCAGTGTCCAGGTTCTGTAGCTCCATGGAATTGTTTACTCAAACTGCTTTTTAGATCTTTCTGAAATTCTTGACGAGAATCAAATGGGAAGTCAGTGAAAGAGGAAGGAGGAAGGGCACGAAAGCAGACAAGCATGCTGCGTACCTGCTATGTAACTGTGCAGCCCTCTTGCTCACTGCCATACTTAAATGGAAAAGGGTTGCAGTGCAAGGCATTACTAGCAGTAAATGATAACTTTAAACCTTTGCAGCAAACGCAACAGCCAAAAAGATTTATCATAACAATATAGGGACCTTTGTTGTCTTCTCAGATTGTATTGTCATTCAAGAGTTGCATAGTTAACTCATCACCGCAGATGAGTTAAGCATATTACTCCCAAAACATGAGGGGTGTGCCTGCAGATAAGAAAGTGACTTTCTAAACAGTTTATCTGTAACTTCAGTCAGTTTGTTCTCCTGGGGCCAGACCAGTTCACGAGGGCGGGAACATTTTGCAAATCTGTCCTGTGTATCATTATTTTGGAGAACAAATTGCATCAAAAGAAGGGAGAAAATAAAATCATAAAGTATGTAATTTTGATTATTAAAAGTTTCATTACTGCTTGGAAACCTTACATAAGTGTTCTGAAGCGTACAGGTCAAAGCTTCAAATTGTTATTTGCTAACAGCTTTTGAAAGCTCCTCTGTGCATTTCATAGCATTGCCATAAATTCCTGTTGCCTTGAATATACATGTATACTTCATTTGATGCTGTTAAAAGTCACTGTGGCACATGCATTACCTAAGTACTGGTAATGTTGGGTAAACTAGTCATTGGTTTCTCACCGCTTGAAACGATTGCTAACTGGAATTAGACATTCTTTTACCACTTTAGATTTTGTCAGGTGCAGTTCAGTTGCCTGTCTCAGCACAGCTGCATTTGTTCATGAAAGGTATCTCAGATTCACCTCTTTAAAAGTGGAAGCCTGTCAAATGAGTGTAGAGAATTTCAGAGCTTTGCAAAAGACAACTAGAAATGAAAATGGTTGGATGTTTTTTTTTATAAAATAATATGATGCTGAAATTATGGCCATTCTGGTATGGGTATGAAATGAAAGTTTGAAATACATACTAAGATTTCATTTTTCAGTTTAAATATTTTAGTTTTTCTTATGTTTTAACACACCATTTAGACTATCTCTGGTACTGTTCTGCTACTTCCCAGACTTAGCATCAGTAATGATGTCCTGTTGTTATCAGCGTACAGAAAAATGCCAGTTATTAAATCCTTGGGTCCATGTGTGCCCTAAGGTACTTAGTGAAACTGAATGATGAATTAGCTTCTTTCTTTTTTCTTTCTTTTTTTGAGTATTTTTTAATTGCTTCTATTTTATTCATAGCAGAACATGCCCTTTGGTTCTTCATACTGCTGGACTGAGCAAAGTTAGTAAAGGTTTAAGGCTGCTTTATGCAACTGGTCAATCGAGTTTTCATCATGTTTACATTAAATACTATGTCTGAAGTGAGTTGTTTTGCATACATCTGCTTTATAGACAGAAAACTGTTTCACACCTGTTTTTATGGAGAAAATTCATGTTTTCCATGGGACTTTATTATGGCATGGATATAATCTAGTTAACTTTTCATCCATAAAGAGTAAGTTAAATTGCACTATCTTTGTAACTAAGAATTCAAGTTAGAAAAGGAATTATTTCTTAAATTTGAGATGTCTTTCAAGTAAATATAGAACCTAAAAAAACCCTAAACAAACTTCCACCTTTTGTTCCAGTCTTTAAACCTTGTTTGTTGTGAGGTCCTGGAAAATATTTATCATTAATAAACTTTGCATGGCATAATTAAATGGTTAGCACAATAACTACCTTTCAGTGTTTTGATGAGGCTGAGTAGATGGTGAAATATTCTGTTGAAAACTCGTTGTAGATGGCGCAGATCTCACGTAGTGTGGTGTGGTTTAAATAGGCCTCACAGAAACACAATATTCCAGGTTGTTGCCACAAGGATGGAGACTTTCTGGATTAATTTGAGAGTGTTCTTGATACTTGCCCCTAAAAACCAGTAATGAAAGGAGGCTTCTTTCTTTTTTGAGTGGACTCTTCTTATTAGCCTTGCTCTTCCCACAGTTAATGTAGTTTAGTTTAACAAAGAAGCCAGGAGGTAAGAAGCTCGGGGATGGACTTCAGTTGAATTTAAGACTTTTTGCCTAATGTTTCCTGTTGGATGGCTGTCATCTTTCAAAGGCGTGCAGCTGATAGAGACTCAGGTGATGTTTAGTCCTGATGAGTGTGGGTGTTTGGCTTGTGCTTCTTCTATTTTTTCCATATTTACCATTCACTGAGACGTCTCTCTTCAGAGTCTGAACAGTGTGAACATTCAACAGTGTAAAGGACTGAAGTGTTTTTGATTCCAAGACATAGTTCATCAAAGACTGTGAGCCAGACTGGTATTTGTGGATTACATGCTGTTCTGAGTTTAAACATTATCACTACTGATTAGCCTGGGAATGGTCTAGCTGTGTCTTGTTTTACGGCTGTTAGTGAAGGAGCTTCTGTAATTTCTGCTCAAATACTTCCCTTCACCGAACTGAGTGTGCCTACCCTCTGGTTAATGCTTTTGTTATTGAGAGCATAACCTTTTCCAGGGCTTACCCCATGGCTCCACTACTTCATCCTTAGCACTCCAGAACCTAATGATTTTTCATTTGTTTGTTGTTGCATTGAATTCTTTAGCAGATGTTATTAGTTCTGTCAGCTACTAAGAAGGAAAGAAGACTGCTGAGTAGTTTCATGCTCAGATCAATGTGTGTAATTGACAAACACGCTTCTTGCCTTGACCACCTCGGAACTGACCAACAGGTACAAAGGAAAAACTTCCCTGCTAATGTCACCCTGGACATAAAGAAAACCAGCTGGTAGACCCCTCTAAATCCTCCTGAAGGAGAAGACTTCCATAAGATGAACACAGGGATGACTTGGATGATTTGAAAAAGCAAACCTTTGAACAGAAGCCTGTGGTTTGAAAAGAGCATTGAGTGCAATAGAACTACGTAGCGATGACATGAGCTGATTTTATTTTACTTTCTACCCCTTGCTTCCTGGCAAGTTCAGTTAGGGTAGCTTCTCTACTTGAAGTACCATGTTTTCTCTGTATTGATTGGACTGAATTGACTGAAGGAATATTTTCTTCTTTGGTCTGATTTAAAATAATAGTCCAGGAGGTGCCAAAGACAACCTACTCCAATTTCTGTTGTTGCAGTTAAGACTCAGAAACCACTAGAAATTATCTTGTTCTTCCCTTCAAGTCATTTGGAATAAAGGGGAGCATCCTTAGACAAATCTCAGCTTGGTTTTCTTGCCGTGGAAGAATATTCAGTTTCCAGTTGGTCTGATGGAACAGATCTGTCAGAACAGATGAGTAACAGCTTGCTTCTGTTTGCTGTATTGAGTTACTGAGCCTGGAGTCTTAACGTGAGGTTGGTAACACTATGGTCTTTCTTCAGTTGAGCAGCCCCTGAAATTATAGTGTAAGATTGATTCTCTGACCTTTCCTGGCTAATATCAGTCCCAATGTTAGCTTCATTTAAAACTGCCCATTGTTTTAATTACGCTGGTCACAGATTCTTGGAAGATGCATAGGAGGAGCATCACAGAGAGCCTCTTCTGAGGAAATAGGAGTCCTCAACAAAATGTTGTAGAGAGATGTTAAATACATGAAGTATTTGCAGAGACCTGGTATTGCAAAATGCTACCCTGGTTCAGTCGCTGTGCTTTATATCAGCAGGTGGGAGGCACTGAATCTGCGTCTTGTCATGCAGCTCTAACAAGTGTGGAATAGGTTTTGTCCAGGAAATACAGTCCTGGTTGTTATGAAGGAGCTCACAGAGTTGATCCCTAACAGATCTCATGTGGTTTTTAGATCAAGTTGTTAGATGTTTACCTCATGGAAGAATGTCCTGTGTTGTTTTACTGCTCATTCAGCAAGAAATTGCCAGTCTGCTCATGGCATAGAGAAGAGGTATTAAGAGAATATGTTATAATTTCAGTGAGAAAATTACTTCCTACATGATTTTCCACCATTACTTCTTGTACTGAAAATTCTGAACAAGCTCAGAGAACCAGACACAGCTGCCTTTCCCTCCAACATATAGTCTCTTTACTGTAGGTCAGGCTAATACTAATACTATAGGTCAGAAGAATTTTTACCTCCTACTCAGTCTTACTTTAGTTTTGTGGTTAAAGAAGAGAGGTAGGCCCTGTAAATCAAAGGTCGAAGGAAGAGTGTTTTCATTTTTTCCACCAAACATTGTCCTACCTTATATCCCATCAGTAATACTGGAAATTACTTTACCTAAATTACTTTACTTGTTTTGGGGAGGTGATTTTCTTTCTCTTTTCCTCTTTATAGTTAAGTGAAAGCCAGCCTCTCACATCAACATTTACATTCCTATTTACATTGGGAATGTTTTATTAATGAGAGAACCTGTTTCCAGCAGTTATTTTATACATATCAAAGACACTTTCTTTAATCCTCTGAAAATTAGAAATACAAGGATACTCATGGTTTACTCGCACTATATCGGATAGAAAATTTATAGTTAATCTCTTATATACGTGAGTTCCTGGGATTGTAAATATGAAGTAAAAAGCCCCCAGACTCTACTTGTCTATATCTGAAGGTTGAGTAAGAGGCTGACACATAAGAAAACTCATTCAAATTGTGAATGTCCAGACTCTTTCTCTTGTTTGGTAGTTTTAACCAAAATTAAAATTCTCTCAGCTTCAAAAGTTTCTTTGTTCAGTAAGTCGTAGTTTTCCAAGGTTTTTCTGTGTTCTAATTTAGAAAGAGTGTTTTAATTGTTGTGTCTTGTTTTCTCTTCATCAATGGGTTAAAACTTGTTTCTTATAGGTCTCCATTGCCATCTAGTGGCCATAGTTATTCAAAGGACTTGGTTTAGAATAAGGCTGAAACGAAAAAGGATATGAAAAAAGTTTGGGGTTTTTTTTCTTGTGTTCTAACCAGTAAGACAAATACAAAAGAGTACGTAAGGAAGAAAGGTAAATGTGTGATGTTTGCTTTATGGTATTATACCTACTTGGAATACAAGGGGTTTGGTTTCTTTTTTGCAAAGCGTTCTCCATTAATAAAGGTTGATATTAATTTTTTTATGTATAATTTGTCTATTGGAAATAACTTATAATTGTTGAGAAGAAGATTACTGGGATACATCCATTAACACTGAAAGGATCTTGTATTATCATTTGAGTTTGAGAGTTCAGAAGCTGACTATATATGTGGTGTGCTTTTTCTGGCAATCTGAGGTTGTTTCCAAAAGATCAACTCTTGAATAAATGCATCTGTTACTTGAAGTGTCCCGTCCCCTTGCATTTCCTATCCTTGGAGTTAGTTCATAACCCCCATTTGAAAAGTATTGTTCACAGGGGAAACATGACAGTGGTCCTGTATCTGGGATGGCAAAGTAGAGTAGGCCTCCTAAACAGTACTTGGGCATGATCGTTGCTGTCGCTTGACCCCTTGCCAGTCTAATAAAAACGTGACTCTTTCTTATCCTCTTGCTTCCTTCCCACCCCTATATATATGTGTGTGTGTGTGTGTGTGTAAATATCTGTGCGTATCTATGTATTTTTTTTAAATGTGATCACAATTGTCTACAGTTCTCAGTGTAATGCTAAAGCTGTTATTTCTTGCTTTGTTTTGGTTTTCTGTGTTCCTAAAACATGCTGAAAGCTGCAGCAACAAGTAAATGAGCCTCAGAACAGATTTTTAACAACAGTTATGGTATTTACATCAAGATGTGGGGTGATACAAGACATATAAATTAGATTGGTAATGTAGAAAGTAAGTCTACACCTTGTACTTTAATATGAATTCTATGATTTTGACCATTGTCATTGCACTGTCTCCCCCACAAACATAAGTCCTGTTAAGATTATTTTAGGGTAGAGAAGCATTTGGGGGAGATTAGGTCACATCATCTGTGCTGATCTAATGTTTGAAATAAATGCAATTGAAAAGTAGGAAATGCATTCCTGGTTTTGAGATCAAAAATTTGTAGTAGGAAGGGGAGGACTTAATTGGCATGTAACGGAAACTCATAGTGTTCTTAAATATACCCCTACTGTATCATTCAGCATCTTCATGAAGAAAGCTGGAACGGAGGCCAGGTAGCAGAATATAAGAAGCAAAAGGCATAATAGCAAGCAAAAAGGGGATACACAGTGTGTGCTGTTTGATAGCATTTATTAGTGCTTACTCTTTCTATTTGTGGTGATTTTCAAATTTCAGAACTTCTATTCTTACAGCAAAAAAGTTACAATAACCCATTCTAATGTCAGATAACTATTTCAGCTTTATGATTCATGGCTGGGCTAGTGGAAGTATTCTCTTGTGCTGCTACTGTGAAAGAGTTAAATTTTATTTTTGAGGCAGTTTATTGTGTAGTTTCTCAAGTTGACAGTTCCATCAGGAAACATCTGCTTTGCAAATTGGCAAGTTTCTACCTGTTGCCTTGGTTCTCTGTGTTCTGCATTTTCAATTGGAAGAAAAAAAATTCCAGAGTCTTCATATGACCCATAATCACCCCAAAGAATAAAATATAAATAGTTAAAACTGATGCAGTAAGCACATAAAAAAAATATAGTTGTTAAACTTTGAACAGTTTGCTTCTACAAGTGGTTTTCTGTTGATTCATTATTCCATATTTATCAAAATTTCTATGCTTCAGAACAGTGTGAAGGCAATAAAAGGAGCAAATAATTGTTATAAGTCTTTGCTGAAATGGATTATCATAATGGCAGAAATACAGCATTTGTTTCTATTTGTTTAGAATTATTAAGTTTAAAAAGCAATCTGTAGGAGCAGTTTCACAAATTAATGGGCTTCTCAAACATGCAGATCTTTTGATGTCACGTAGTGAGCTACTTTCTACAAATTCTCTTTTGTAGGCAGTCTTTTTTCAAACCAGAGCACAATATTTTTGAAAGATATTCATAGATGTTTAAGCTGTATGCATATTGGTATATCATCAGTTTTGTTGTGTTTTAAAAAGAGCAAAATTAAGTGAAAAATTTTCAATGTGGCAAGATAGAAGGTTTGATTTTTTTTTTTTTTTTTTTTTTGCCTGCAGGGGCTAACTTTTTCCCATTATCATAACTACTGAGACATTTTGAATTGCAGTAAAACTTAAAATTTGGTTGTTTGTTTCTCTAACAAAGAATATGCAGTAATTGTGTGCATTAACTGACATGATTACAAATCTTTGCATTTATTTATATGGATTCTTAATATTTCCATTTTATTATTATGTGATTATTAACTCAGGACTTTGGTTTCATCTATTAAGAATTCTGTTACTTAGAAAAGCATTTTATATCTTAAAGATAATTTTACTGAACAGGCGAGATAAAGAAGTATATTAGACTTGATTTTCATAATAAAGCTGGCTTCCACTAATCGAGGTTTATATGGTGTTTAATAGAAATAATCCATTAATTCAGTTGTCCCAAGCCAAATTTAAAGAAAAAAAAATCCTACCTCTGTACCTGTATAAGGTAGGAGTCGTCTTTTGGATTTTACAAGTGCCAAGTTAAGCACTACTCTCCGATTTGAAATGAATAGAATATTTAAAAATTTCTTCAGTTATCCTCTCCCTTCATGCCTCTTTACCTCACAACTGGATGTACTTATTCTGCTTTTTTAACTTTGATCTTAACTAAATGATGATAAAAACACTGCAGCTGTTGGCTATACTAAACCCAAAAGCAATTAGGATTTGTGTTTTAACAATTTGCAGAAACTTCAAGACCAATACCGTGTGTTATAACGCTGCCTTTAATTTTGAACACGTTGCTGTAAGTAGCATCTAGACTGATTTCAGTCAGTGCTGCTAAAGACTAGATCATACCTTTTACAGTTACTGATGAAGATGTAAAATCATCTATTCTGTTTAAACACTGAAAGGAGATTTATGCTTGGACGGAATAGACTCCCTCATTGCTAATGATGGAACATTAAATGTTTAGGAATTGTAGTCAGCAGTTGTCCATTAAATTAGTTTGTGGAACTGTTCTGTGTATTAATCGCTGCATCATGTTAAGCACCTACAAAAGCAAAACACTGTCATCACTTTCAAGGTCTCTTTATTTTAGAATCTCTTCTTTGTAAGGGTAGAAAGCATTTTCGTTTTTGTTACCTGTCATATATTGAACTGGAAAGATACTCAGTGACAGTACAATCTAATGCTGATTTTCCTTGCATTTTTTTCTTTTTTTGATTTGCATTTTAGAAAATCTTCAAGGCAAATGAAGGGCATGCACGTATAAACTCGAATGCAAAGTGTGAATGGGCTGAGAAGGCTTTGGGTACACAACAGTTTCTGTCTCAAGAATTTTCTTAAAGCTGTGTGTAATCTCATAATGCATTTTTCATTTTCAGGTTCTTTTGTCCTCCTCCATGTGTGTATCTTATGGGCAGTGGATGGAAGAAAAAAAAAGAGCAAATGGAACGGGATGGTTGCACTGAGCAAGAGTCACAACCTTGCGCCTTCATTGGAATAGGAAACAGCGACCAAGAAATGCAGCAGCTGAACTTAGAAGGAAAGGTAGAAGAATTGTAATAAACCACTCAGATTACTGCAAAGGATATTATAGCTACATGGTGCATATTTCAAGGAATACCCTTGCTTATTTTTGATAACTTTTGTTACACTGTAGCAGATATGACATAAGTGGCTTAAACAAATGCCTCAAAGGACAATCAAATAGGTGGATTTGGTTCATGGGATCATAGAAGGGTACTAACCTTTCATTTGTAGGTTGTTGATTCAAAGTCAGTAAACTGTTAGGTTATTTGGTAGGCATCAATTGTTAACTGCAGTAAGGTTTCTGGCCCAAACTCTGTGTCCCTCTCCCTGGCTTGCATGAATGGATAGTCTCATCCAGGAAGTACCTGAACAACATCTCCTGCTAGAAGTCGTCTTTTAAGTCCCTTTGCATAAAAATACAATTATAATAACATCTTAACAAATTTAATAGATTATTTTTTTACAGTGATATAAATTGTTACAAGATTTTTTTAAAGATATTTGTGATGACTTAAACAGTTGGAATAGAACTGGCAGCACATGAGTGCTCATTTTAGCTGGTTGTTTTACTAAGCAGTGTTTTATAGCTACCTAGTACTCCCAGCACAGTTTACTTCGAAATGCTTCATATGTTGCTGAATAGGAGAAGAATAAAAGTTCTTTTTGAGTTGTTTTTTTTTTTTTTTAAGCTCCTGTTGTCACCTAGCATAAACACTTAGCCAAAAGTAACTTTCTAGTGTTTCAAAACCCAATCATCTCCCATCCTTTCAAGAAAAGTTTGGCTCAACACATTTTCTGCACAGGCAGCCTCTTGCACATGTCCAGTGTACTGCCTGTATAGCTCTACTGAAATGTAATTTTTAGTAGTGCTCTTAACCACTCAGAGACGGCCTTGGCACAGCTATAGTCTCTAATCATGTGTTTTCCAGTCCTGGTAAGGGTCTTTAGAAAGATGCTAAAGTACTGAAGTTGGGTGCTAAATTTCACAAATCTAAACAGTATCCATATGGAAGAGATGGAAAAAGCAGTTTCTGATCTGTTTTAGAGACTATTGCATCGGTTTTCCTATTTTATTCATAATTAAATATACATAGTTTCTTGAACTGGGTTGACTTGAAAGAAGAAACAACAGTGTGTTTTCACCTACAGAATTATTGCACTGCCAAAACATTATACATATCAGACTCAGACAAGAGAAAGCACTTCATGTTATCGGTAAAAATGTTCTATGGCAATAGTGACGACATCGGTGTGTTCCTCAGTAAACGGATCAAAGTCATCTCCAAACCTTCTAAAAAGAAACAGTCACTGAAAAATGCAGACTGTAAGTATTTTACAATTCGTTATGTAGCAATTCATTTTGCCTCATACTGATTTTTTCTTATGTATTCTGAGGTCTGGCTATGAGGTAAATACAATGAAATTTTCAGTTTCTGTTTTTTCTAATGTATTTCAGAACTGTACACATCAGTGTATTTTGAAGTATTCCAATATAGATAGGCTACACTGAGTTTTATGCAGTCACAGTTAATTATCTAGTAAATCTAGAAGGTCCACCAAAAAAACTTTATTCTGAGAAGTGAATCCTTGTAGACAAATGCATAAAGAATGCTCTACCTCAGCTTTCCTTAGAAAGGAAAGAGATCCTGATGGATCTCTTAAGCTGTCATGATCTGGTGCTTAGGATGTTTTGATCAGTATTAAAGAGAGCTTTCAGACTGTGATAAATGAGTAGCAGCATGTTATCCAAACTGCATTTTGTCACATCACAGCCACCTTCTTATTGTCTCGTGCCATCTTCATGATGTTTTTATTTTTAATATCTTTTGCGTGGTTCCTTTTAAGTAATTGGTTAAGAAATCTGTATGGTGATATTTCACCCAGATTTATTTGCTTACCATGCTTTTCAATTAAAGATATCTCTGGTGCTAATGTATAATTGCAAGCATTATTGCTTGTCCTCCAGAGCTTATGCCTGCATACCGCTGGAGCACCTCAAGAGATACCCTTTTTTTGTTGTTGTTGTTTTTTCTCTCTCTTCACTAGTGCTTTAAAAGGCTCTTCCATCTGTGTTGGGCTGGAACCCATTCACCTATGGAATGTGGATCCTGGGGCCGCTAGCTTGCAATGTGTTGCTGTGCAGTTCACACCCATGGGCTCAGAGTATGCACTGCTGACTTTGTATTCAGACAGATAGTTTTGATGGACAGTGAATATGAACCAAGCATTCTTCGATAGTAAATATGAACCAAGTAGAAGAAGCATGGCCGTTTTGATGGCAAAATGCTAGTTGCTGATTTTTTTAGGGGAGCAGACTTAGCATTTCTCTCTCTTGAATGATAAGTAAGTTCAGATCTGAGAAAATGTCAAGTTGCATGGTTACCATTTTACATAGTTATGTCTGTCTTCCTTTCAACTGATTGTTATTTGTAAGAATAATTTTTCTTTATACTTCAAATGGTCACTGAAAGTTGAAGTACTTTGCAAGGGCAAGCTAAAGCTTCTGCTCAAATAATCAGTTGTTAGAGAACTATGAACGGAAGGAGTTTTCAGTTGGCAAGCACTGGCCTGTTTGGCTAAGTGGCAAAATTCTGTGAACTAGCATGCCTTTGGAGAACAGCCACTGTGTCTGTTGTCCCGCTTGTAATTTTGTGATTTTATATTTGTGACAGAACAAAAATATATTTTCTAAATTAACCAACAGTTGAGAATTATTTCTTGATGTCCAGTATTCATCAGTCTATTTTACTGTATTTGTGACTCTTTGTTACTTTTCTATGTAATAATGAAGTAATTTTATAATCTCAAGTCTGTATGTGTTCCTTGCAGTATGTATTGCGTCAGGGACAAAAGTGGCACTATTTAATAGACTTCGATCCCAAACAGTTAGCACCAGATATTTGCACGTAGAAGGTGGTAATTTCCATGCCAGTTCACAACAGTGGGGAGCATTTTACATTCACCTCTGTAAGTAAAAATGAAGCAATATATTTTTTTCACCTCTCTCCCTCCATCCCCACAAAAAAAGTCCTGCATTTTTTCCTCCATATTAATTGCCCATATGCAGATTTGTTTTGTTACTGAGTGTATATTTGATGTAATAGTGTGATGTTGAATGTTCCTTCTATCGAGGAAAACAGTGATTAAAACAAATAATGTGAAAATTCGTTTCATGCAGTGGATGATGATGAATCGGAAGGAGAAGAATTCACAGTGAGAGACGGCTACATTCATTATGGGCAGACTGTCAAACTTGTATGCTCAGTTACTGGCATGGCACTCCCAAGACTGGTACAGTTTAATTTCTCCAATGCTGTAATTAATTTGTAGATGGCTACTTAAAGTAATTACATAGTTGGGTTTGCATTGTTTACAATTTTTGGCTTTGTATGTTTCCTTTTGGTAATACATGTTTTATAGGGAAAATGGCATTCATTTTAATAAAAGCGTATTTTTAAATCTGCAGATTAATTCTGTAAGCAAAGAACAGCTTGTAAAATAAGCATAGGGAATTTTTCAGAATTCAAACCTGCCAAAGTAGGTTAATCTGCAAGCTGTCCTTAAGAAAATGTCTATTTTAAAAACAGTAATGTAGGTCCCAGTGTAGCAAAATACTTTAAATATTGATATTGAATAGACGAGTAAAGGCTTTGCAGCCAGTAGGACTATTCCATTTGTTGAGTTCAGCACAGCTTTAAAAATGATCTACTGATTTGAATGTAAAAGCACTTCTGTGTACTTCTAAGGATACATAATTATACCAATACCAGCTTGCAAAAGCATTTTGGACATTTATTAATACTGTCTGTTTTAAATATGGAACATTGGAAATGCCTTTGGAATAACTTTTTTAGAAAGTGACAATTTCAGCCCTTGTCTTTGTCACACATACAAAATCGATTATAACCAGTTAAGGTTTGTGAACCAAAAACATTATTGCTGGATACACAGTAATGATTTTTATAAATAAATTTAAGTATAATTATGGATTTTTTTCCTCCTGTTTTGTGCACTTAATGCCAGCCTAATTGGAATTTTTTGTGACGGATAATAAACAATGCTTCATATGAGGTCTTCTGTGAAATTGTGGTTTGTCAGCCCATTATGAATTTCATACAAGGCTTTGCTAATTCCACTTTTAACTAGAAATGATGTTTAGAATGCGCCAATGTAAAACCAGCCTTCCCTGCAGGAAGGCTTTTGTTCCCCTTCCCAGGCTTATTTTACTAGGACTGTAATATGAAATTCTCTCCCAGTATCAAACTTAGCCAAAAAAGGAGATAGCCTGCTCAGAGTAAATGGTGTAAAATAATCATTGAAACAGATCTTTTTTTAAATCACATTGTTTGACAGAAAAATACAAACCTGGTTACTACTGATCTGGTTCAGTGCACATGAAATTCAGTAATATGATCTCACTTTATTTGAGAGCTTCATGTTAATGTTTTCTTATTGCTGAAAGGAGATGCCATCGTTTATGATTCCAGAAACCTTATTTGTACATAGAAGTAGATTAAAACAAATTAGGCTAAAGGTTCCTGTTTTGTTTGCTATTGGGAACATTTGTCATGCTGCCTTACAAGACTAATTGAAGGTGATGCGATTAAATGGTAACTCGCAGACATTTTATAGGTTAATGCAAAGCACTTTGAAGAAACAAGTTAACCTTGAAACTTATATTGCTAATAATGCCATTTATTATCATTAGAAATCCCAGAGGACATGGTTGGCTTTCTGATTGTCGGCTTAGAAATCTTCAAGCACTGGCTGCTGCTTCTGCTGATGTTGCATAAAATGAAGTATTAAACTTTTTTCTAGAAGTTGAGTTAAAATTCCAAGCTACAGATTTCCACTGTCTGTAAGGGAATAACTTTTTTAATTTTTAAAAATAAATTAGCATAACAGCTCTGAATTAAGTCAGCAGATATTTTTTCACTGAACTACCAGATGTAAAGAACAACTGTTCTTTGCAGTTGTCTTTAAGTAATAGTTAATGACCACCTATTGTTAAGATAGCTGTGATTGCTGTGTTTGCAAAACTGTACTTAAGGACATCTCAACACCTTTTGAGTAAATCCTTATTTTCAACTGTTCTCATTCAGCAGCCAGTCTGCCACAGAATGTTGTTGGTGCTGTTGTCCCAAAAGGTGCTATCAATGGTAGAAGCTTCTGTAGAAGTCTACTAATACTTGACCTACTGCTCTTTTGTACCAGGAAATGGAACAAAAGTAGATTTTGCTGAAGCTTCAAGTTTTTTCCCCACTCTTACAGCAAAAAAGATAAACTATATTTGCATGCAGCACATTGAAGCTGTAGTACTGAGTGTCACTTGAATGTTGTGTTCTTGTTTCAAAAGCATTGAGAATTATGAATCTAATGTTGCTATTAAAACAGGAGGCATAGAAATCAAAAAAAAAAAAGACCTTTCACTTTCTTTACTAACAGTACATATGCAATCTCCAATGTAATGAAGTACAAAAATTGTTCTAAATATATATGTACAATTTTCATTCACAGATAATTCGAAAAGTAGATAAACAAACAGCGTTATTGGATGCAGATGATCCAGTATCACAGCTCCATAAATGTGCATTTTACCTTAAAGACACTGAGAGAATGTATTTGTGCCTTTCCCAGGAGAGAATAATCCAATTTCAAGTGAGTTGTTTAAAACTATTTGAATAGATGAGAAGCGTCGTTGCAAAGTTTTTCCCAAATATTCCCAAAATATATATGAATGCCAGTTTTGCAGTTGGTTTTGAATGCGAGTCTAATATTTTGTTTTGAAAAGACAGAGGATGGAAAGCAACAAACCTTATCTGTCCCTTTCCAAATCTGTTGTTCTTTCCTCATAACCTTCTTCCATGTCTGTCTAGACAATGAATTCTATTTTCTCTAACAGAAGAAATGGAAACATACTAGGAACTTGTGCATGCAGTCATGATACTGTGGCTTAACATGTTGACATATGCCAGTGGAGTTGCATTACTTGTGTGTCCATTTCTAGATGACAGCAAATAGGAAATGATACAGTTCATGATAGTCTTATTTCATGGTGAACTTAGCAGAGGTGCACTGTCTTGCTCTTGGCTAAGAGCATAAACATAGGCAGCTATGGCAGTTGACCACAGTAATTTGCAAAGCCACAGAAATTTGATTTGTCTGTAAAGAATGTAGATGTGTCAGTCTTCAAGTAGTTGTTTCTCCAGCAGGTGGACAAAAATATCCCTAGCAAGTTATTGTAACAGGAATGAACCCCTAGGGAGAGCTGTAAAAAAAATACCAGAGTGTACAATTGTTCTGACAGCTTATACAGTATGCTAACAAACTGTGGGTTTAGTCTCATGTATGTTAGCATGCCTTTAGCAGTCTTTCAGCATGGCAGTTCCCATCAGAGTAGACTGTGACCACGTTCAGGCCTACTTAAGTATTGCAATTTTCTTTAAACATCCAGGACAGCTCAAATAGCAAGGGGTGTTGAGAGGTAATGCTGTGCTCCAGGAAGATGGCCACACTCGGGAAAGACTTGGGACTTCCTTAGGAGAACAGCTGTAGCTTCTTGGGTAAGAAAGGTAGAAGTAGGAAAGGGGGAAGCTAACTTTTTAAAGATTTCCCTTAATTTAAGGGAAGGGACGAGAAGGATCGGTAAAGGCTCAGTTGACTTCTATCCTGAATTGGGGCAATGGGAAGAGAATATGAGAAGCTTTGTTCATATTTCAGGAAACACATTCATGACTTGTGGCTCAGAAGGCACCAGATGTACTGGTTCTACGCACAGCACATAGCAGAGATATATCTATCGGGATACTTTCTTGTGAAGGAGAATGGACCTTCATCAAGAAAAGAAGGCTATGAAACTTGAATTGCAATAACTCAGGATCAGCCTTGCTATTTGATCTTTCTCAAAGTACTTTATAGGAAGGGCTAAATGAAGAAGCAACTCTTGCTTCTCTGACAGCTGCCTTAGTTCAACATCCTGGAATTGCCTGTGGGACTACCAGGACATCCTACCACTCTTCAATTTCTGCAGCACTCATGGAGCCCAATCTGCAAAGAGCTCTGAACTTTCCAAGTGGGTTGGGCTTAGATAAAAGGACAACCCACTATTCTGAATTCTTTTAGTGGAGTAGGTACCTGCTGCTTCTACTTGTTGAATAAAATCTGTTAACGTGCACATCGGGCTGTTACCACTCTTTGGTAGGTGAAGTCACTATGGAAGATAAACTCTTTCTACCAGTGGCAGGAGAGAAATCCCATTTTATCTGTTTTTTCCTTTGGAGCAGAAGACCAAGACCAAGTCTCTTTTGGGTGAATGGAAATAGCCTAATATAGATACCTTAGAGACTTAAAGCAGAGAGGCTGTAAAAAGTCAGCAGGTCAGCATGAACCTACAAAAACCTTGAAATTCAGTTGCTGAAGTACCAGCTAGATCTCTCTGTAAAGATGTCCATGTATTCTGGAGAATACAGAAAGAATATAAATAATGCCTTACTGGATCAGAGCATCGTCTAACAGCATGTCTAACAGCAGCAACAGGATGTGGTGCTTACAGGAAGCAGGCAGACCTGGTTGCTTTATGTAGTCCACCGCAGTTGTACTCTGCCAGCATCCACACTTCTTGTAGTAAGTGTTGTTAAAGGCTGTATCCCTGACTCTATTTTAGTATCATTTTGTAGATGTGTAGTCGATCAGTTTGATTCCTTTTGAATGTGCTGATGCTCTCTTTTTCTGCAGTATTCTGTGGCAGAAAGTTCAAGTGGTTTCCTGTCCTCTGTGTAGTAAGCTTCTGCTGTATTTGTTTTGAATGATCATAGAATCATAGAATCATTAGGTTGGAAAAGACCCTTAAGATCATCGAGTCCAACCATTAACCTGTCACTGCCAAGTCCACCACTAAACCATATCCTCAAACACCACGTCTACCCGTCTTTTAAATACCTCCAGGGATGGAGACTCAACCACTTCCCTGGGCAGCCTGTTCCAGTGCCTGACTGCCCTTTCAGTGAAGAAGTTTTTCCTAATATCCAACCTAAACTTCCCCTGGCGCAGCTTGAGGCTGTTTCCTCTCGTTCTATCGCTTGTTACTAGGGAGAAGAGACCGACAATCTAATAGTTTCCGAGTGATTCGTAGTTCCAGTTTTGTAGGATTTAGTGAGTAACAGTTCTGCATTCACCTTACCCAACATCATCTTGATTTCTTCTTTCCAAATTGGAGAGTCACAGTCTTTTCAATATCTTCTCATAAGGTCAGCAGCTCCTTGGTGATTTTAGTTGCTCCTTCTGTACCTACTTTATTTGCACCATGGCTTTCTTAGATGGAAAAACCAGAACTGCACGCAGTATTCCAGGATGAGATGAACAAAGGATTTACACTGGCAAAATAATACCTGATACCTTGTTCTCAATATTTTTTTCTGATGGTGTCCAACATTGTGTTGCCACTTGTGGCTGCCACTGCACATTGAGCTGGTGATTCCATAAAACTGTCAGTGGTGACTCCAGGATCCTGAGTTGTAACTACCAGTTCCAAGTTCAGTATTTTGTGGGCATCATTTACAGAATCTTTAGAAACCTTGCTTTTATCTAAATTGAAGCTCATTGCCACTTTTTTGCTCTCTGTGTGCATTTTGATGTCTTTCTGGACATAAAATCCTAGCAATTGTAAGAGCATTTAACTACCTGAAAAACTTAGGATCATGCGGAAGTTTGAAGATTTGACTTTACCAGCACACTGGTGAGGATGTTGAATAAAACTGATTGCAACACCAGCCTCGGGGAGGGGACTGCACTGTTGGCTTTTATGCGTTTTGAAAGGAGGATGACTGTTAAGTTCTACCTTTTGCTTTTTGCTTTCCTGTAATTAGCTTTCTTTTAAAAAAAAAAAAAAACCACAACTTCTTCTAATCTATTATAATTTCATGTCTTTAATATCCTTTGATACAGAGCTTTCTTGAGGTTTTTTGGGGGGCGAGGGGTTAGTGGTGTTTGGTTGCTTGTGGTTTTTTTTTTTAAATCCAAATATATTATGTTCCTTGGATTCCTTTTGCTGTGCCCTTACTGTGTTTATCAGTTCTTGGGGAATTCTGTCCTTTATCTGTTAAAGTTAGGCAATTGTTTGTTTCCCATCCTGTCTCCATGTGAAGCCAGTCAATACATGAGGTACTAGGCGTGGTGTTAAGGCATTTCAGTCTTCCAGTGCCGCTTGTTGAGAAAGTTTAGTTATAAAAGGAAAGGAACGAGGTGGGGAAAAAAGTGCCTGGAGGTAAACTGCTGTATTTGGAAGTGACAAGGAGGAATGCTTCTCTAGAAGAGGAATCGTAATTTTTCAAGGATTCCTTCTGTGACAGAAGGAATAATGTATTCCTGAAATGATTCTTGACATAGCAGGACTTTCAGAATAAATTCTGTGGCAATTGCCTTCCACTTTGTGGCAGGGCTTTAGTAGAGCTGAAGAAGCCAGTCAGGGGTCTTGTACAGGGTCATTCATTTTTGATATCCATGGTCTTATTTGTAATGAGTTGGAATACGTCAGTCCATGGCAACAGGAATTGTAGTCAACCTGTAGGAAAAATGTCATGCACTGAACTAGTATACAACAGTTCCTCTCTTGAAGTTGGGCTAGTAATTTAGAAGCTCCATGTGTTTCTCATAAAAGTATCAGTTGGGTCGTGAGCTTGGAAAGATCTGTAGTTACTATCCCTGTTGCATACTTCCCTTGCAAGCTGTTGTCAGTGCTTTTTTACGTGATCATATCAGAATGAAGAGTCTACATGAGAATGCAGCTTTGATCTTAACTTCCTTTCACCTGAACTGGTAAATTCATGCTAATTGAAGTTTATCTAACAGTTTTGAAGAGTGAAGGTTATGGTTACATACCTAGATATCCTTAAAGCTTAATAGAAGAAAACAGAATTTAGGTATTAGAATTTTTGAGTCCCATTTTTTTCTGTGCTGTTTAACCTATACACAATTTCCTTATTGGTTGCTAGATGATGGAATTGTTCAGAGAGGCTTTTGTTGCCATAAAAAATAGTCTACAGTGTATTTTCTATCTATGTATATATGTATGTATACTATCTTGGCCAGATGTAAATCGTAACTAATGAAAAGTATTCCACTTCAGTCTGTAGCTGTTTTAGTCATTTTGCATTAATAAAACAAGATCTATTATAAAGTTGCTACTTCTAGTTGCTGTAGTTTGTCGGTTAATGGCTATTGAATAATGTTAAAATGTTGAAAGCTGAACTAAAATAATAAACAGAAGGTTGGAGAGGTGACAGTATCATAGGTGAGAGTTACAGTGTTCTCACTATAGTTTTAGTTTTCTGCTAGTTTTGCTGAAATGTATGTGACTTTCTCTAGGTCATTTTGTTCGAGGAAAAACATAAGGAAACATGTTTTTGAAATAATAGACATTGTTACTGTCTGAGTTGGTTTTTAGCTCTGTGACTTGGCAAATGAGTCTACAGGTCAGATTTAAAACTTAACTTTCTTTCTAAGGCCACTCCATGCCCAAAAGAACCAAATAAAGAAATGATTAATGACGGAGCTTCTTGGACAATCATTAGCACAGATAAAGCAGAATACACATTTTATGAGGGGATGGGACCGGTCCATGCTCCAGTGACACCTGTGCCTGTTGTAGAAAGTCTTCAAGTAAGTTTATTTTTTTCAAATAAAATCTTTTATGTGAGATTATTTTTGTCATACTGATTTAACCTTCATGGTACTTTTGTGGAATACTGTAGGAGAGCATTCTTATTAGCTTTATAAATGAGAAAATTACTTTATGTTACAATAATTTTTCTTACCTACATTTCAGAATACATGAGCCTATCCATCACAAGAATAATAGAATCATAGAATTGTTTATGTTAGAAAAGACCTTTAAGATCATCAAGTCCAATCGTTAACCTAGCACTGCCAAGTCCACCACTGAACCACGTCCTAATGTTTGGCATAAATGTTAATATTGTTCTATACATGAAGAATTTTATTTCTTAAAATACTATGGTAGCGATATCCTAAGGACTTCTACTTCTGTTTGATTATTTAGAAATTGATTTTGGCTCTTAAAACAGCCAATTATAGATCAAAGTGAGCCAGACTGAAACCTTATTAAGAAAATCAGCGTTCTGCTGTGGAAAAAACTTGAAGCTCTCCTAACACTTTCTCTGAAAGATTCTTTGTTCTTTGTTTTCAAAGCCTTGTTCACTTCTATTCGAAGTGGCCACTATCAAAACTTAGAAGTTGCTTCAGGATATCAAATTAATTGGCAGTATCTTTTAGATGTGTTACTTCTTTACAGTTCAGTTGTGTAGGTGTGTTTCTTCCAGTTTTATCTAGCTGATAGAAACAGCACTGTTTACAGTTCTTGTATGCATGTGAAGAACTTTTTTCTGTTTTGTTGTTGTTTTTTTTTTTTTCTGAGAGGGGGTGCTTGTTTTTATTAATACATTTTTTTTTTGTGGATTTTCTTCTTTCTTCCATTCACTCCCTTTCCAGTTGAATGGTGGTGGGGATGTAGCAATGTTGGAACTTACAGGACAGAACTTCACTCCAAATTTACGTGTCTGGTTTGGGGATGTGGAAGCTGAAACCATGTACAGGTACAGTATTTCCTACTACTTTTATGGTGATTACATTTTACTGGATGCTTTGAAGAGTGTATACTCGTGTGTATACACTCAAGTGTATACTTTCTGCCCTGCAGAAAGGGATCTGGGAGTGCTGGTTGACAGTAGGCTCAGTATGTGTCAGCAGTGTGCCCTGGCAGCCAAGAGGGCAAACCACATCCAGCTGGTCAAAAGAGGTGATTATCCCCCTGTATTTAGCATTGGTGCAGCCTGACCTTGAGTACTGTGTGCAGTTCTGGGCCCCACAATATAAGAAAGATGTGAAGGTCCTCGAATGCGTCCAGAGGAGGGCAACAAAGCTGGTGAAGGGCTGGAAGGCATGTCCTGTGAGGAGTGGCTAAGGACTTTGGGTTTGTCTGGTTTGGAGAAAAGGAGGCTGAGGGATGACCTCATTGCTCTCTACAGCTTCCTGAGGAGGGGAAGTGCAGAGGGAGGTGCTGAGCTCTTCTCCCTGGTATCATGTGCCAAGATGCGTGGGAGTGGTTCAAAGCTGCATCAGGGGAGGTTCAGACTTGACATTAGGAAACATTTCTTTGCTGAGAGGGCAGTCAAACACTGGAACAGGCTTCCTAGAGAGGTGGTCAGTGCCCCAAGCCTGTCAGTGTTTAAGAGGCATTTGAACAATGCCTTAATAATATGCTTTAACTTTCGGTCAGCCCTGAATTGGTCAGGCATTTGGACTAGATGATTGTTGTAGGTCCCTTCCAACTGAACTATTCTGTTCTATTCTATTCTTTAAGCTTCAGTTTTATTATGCTCAGTTGATTCTCCTTTTTTTTTCAGATGCGCAGAGAGCATGCTATGTGTTGTTCCAGACATTTCTGCATTTCGAGAGGGTTGGAGGTGGGTCCGTCAGCCAGTCCAGGTTCCAGTAACTTTGGTCCGTAACGATGGCATAATTTACTCCACCAGCCTTACCTTTACATATACACCGGAACCAGGGCCACGACCACACTGCAGTGCTGCTGGAGCAATCCTCAGAGCCAACTCAAGCCTCATGGCTTCCAGTGAAACAAATACAAACAGCGAGGGAAGTTACACAAACGTCAGCACAAATCCAACCAATGTCACATCATCTACAGCAACTGTAGTTTCCTAACTACTGTTGTTTGTCTGGACTTTAACTGACTTTTAAGTGCTACATTCAAGAGACCTGAACAATTTTTGTGGTTTCATGGGAAAACACCTTTCCATTTTAGGTGATATTATTTGAACCTTGTTACCTGCAAGTGCTGATCTTAAATATAGAAGCCACAATAAAAAAAAAAAAATACATCCGAAACATAAGAACTTTATTGAGAATCTATTTTTCAGCTGTTTTTTTTAATGGGCAAGAAACAAAAAATGTGGCTGGGATACATGTTGAGCAAACTAGAAAACATGAACACAACATAGTTTTTATGGACCAAGGAACTTGTATAAGCTTTAGTATAAAAGGTACATTTTCACCATACCTTTTTTGTATCACAACATATAGTACACTTTTGTTACCAAATAGTTTATATTTTTTTTTCCTCTGAGCTTTTGCTCTGAAGTATATTCAGGTTCCAAGCCTGACCATGCTTGTATAATCTAATTACCATACTCTTCCAGTTTTAAAAAAATATATATATTTTTGGTCTGTGGCTGGAACTGTTCCTTTTTTTAAACTGAAGTCTTGTGACTTTTTATGAACTGAAATTGTTTTTATTTCAGCAAGTAGAACCTTGTAAAGGCCAGCGTATTTTTTTTAAGATTATATGAAGTCTGTGCAAAAGCTTTAAAAAATGCCTCTGCCTTGCCTGCAATACATGCAATGTATGTTAACTTTAGTGCTCTGTTTTCAGTCATTGTTAATAGTTATTTCTGTTTTCCTTTTTTAAATATGTATTTATAGTGATAATTCATGAGGTTCTAACATTACGTGAGTTTTTTTTAAAGTGGCATCTCAAGCAGTCGTATTAATGATTGTTCATGTCACAGGCATACGTTGGTGTTTTTGAAGGGTTGTTACTGGGTTACTCCCCCTCTTCCTTGCTCAGTCATATTGCATCTGAAAATGTTTCAGGATCTGTTCAGGTTTTTCTAATCTTGTACATAATTTGTATTAAGTGTAAGTTAAATGTTTTATTTTGAAAGTGGAATGTTCCCAATAACTTCATTTGGCAGCATGTCTTCTGTCTTGTTGGCATGTAACTAAAATACCATGAGAAGTATGTGCTACAAATGGGATTGGTAGGTGGTGCCCTTCATCACCTGAGAATCACAACAAGCATGTTTTTCTTCATACTGTTCAGTAAATTAGGCCAGACTTTGGTGTAACACTTGTATTGAGAACGTGCTTTCATTGTGAAGTGATCATACCATAATAACTAGAAGTAAATTTTATTACTTAGAAATGGGCAAATAGAAAATCGTAAAAGCACTATGAAGATGTCAACTCCTCCCATCCTTATTTCCTGTGGGCTTTTCTTTCCCTGCCAACAGCTTGTGCAACATTCAAGTCTTCTCTCCATCATAAATTCAAGGCTCATTTGCACTTTGACTTTGTTGGTTGTTGCATTTGTTTTTCATTTTGACTTTGCCATGTTTTGTCCTTCCTCGTAGACCTGCTTGCTTCGTTTGTATTTGAAAGTATACCCCAGTAGTTCATTTGTAGTCACAGAACTAGGCATAGACTTGTAGGGCAAGTTCTGATAGTGTGATCTTCCTCTTTAAAAGCCAAAATACAAATTTTACGGTGTGTTCGGCCTTTTCTATACCCTGAAGCAAGAGCCACAACTGCTGTGTAAATGTGAACCTGTGGCTTTCTACAGTGCATTGCTTTACAAGCTTATCCGTTGACCATTTTCATAGGGTTTTTATTTCTGACCACTTATTCCAGTTTCAACACTCACCACCATTTTAAAGCATTGTCTCGGCACCATATTTATGTATTCTGATGCTCCACTCTACTTGTTTGCTTTAGTGTTCCGTTGTATGTGTGAAAACAATGTGGTTAAAGGAAGAAATTGGTTATAAAGCATATTTAGCTAATAGTGAAATCAGTGCCGCTGTCCTTCTAAAATGTGCTTGTATTCTACCACAGGCCTTCATATTTCCTATTCTGTATTATGAGACTTATTTCCATGACATAGTCGCAATGCTGGTTCTTAGACTAGTGAATACTGCCTCACCTCATCTCTGTTTCAGTGACCAAGGGCAGAATTCATTGTGGCCTTATCTCTGTTTTAAACTGTTTACTGGCATTTACTTGCAAATCTGTTTACCTTTGTATGTGCTATAAATTTCGTTTTAATTGTGTTGTGGCAGGAATCATTTCACAGTGTTTGTGTTAGAAGCACATAAGTATCTTACAGTACAGCTTAATTCAAGAGCCACAGTTTTCATCACTAATTAGACTGAGAATTGAAATCAGCAAGATATATATATCTCAGATTTAGAGGGTATTCGAGAACAAACCATGATATACACACAGTAGGCAAACCATAACAAGCCTTTTAACCTTCAAAGACTATTTAAAATAGCTTTTCGGAACTTGACACCTGCTTTTATACTCATTATTTTGAAATTTTTACATATAAATGCAATACTTTTTATATTCATTTTCTTTACTTGCAATAATTTTGCCCAATAGATATAATATTCCTTGACTTGTAAAGAACCTAATGACTTAGCCTAATTTCTGCTGTTCTGCACACTACAGCCAAGTGGATGAAAAAAAAAGAGACTATTACGTTCTGCTTACAAGACCATTTTAAACCCCATTTTTCCCTTGGGCTTGTGGCTCCATTGTTGCCAGTAGTTATTCTGTCGTACCGAAATGGTCTTCCAGGTCCTTACTGTTGTTACGATGTCCAGTTGTTCAGATATATTATCTTCCTGAACTTTTTCCTGTGGGGTGATATTGTTACATTTATTGGCCTTGTGAGCTGTTAATCAATTTTCATTATATTAACAATATCTCAAGATTTTGATAAAACTACTTTTAGAATGTTTCAGTATGAAACTGTTATAACTGTTCAAGTCTAGCTGTTAAGTCTGCTGTTAATTCTATATACATAGAAATTGAGTCTGTGTTCAGAATGTTGTTATAGTTCCAACTATAGGAAGAAAAAGCAAATTAAGTGCTCAAATTTAGCTATGCCTTTTCTTGTTTTCTTTTGTTTGGAACTGCATTTCAGAATTCAACACTAGCGTAGTCTTTAATAATCTGCTGCTGATGTTTTTCCCTAATTATTTGCCCTGAGGGCATCCCACAACTGTGTTAATAATGGTATTCTGTACTTCCTTTCATCGCACAGACTTACAAGATCAGAATGGTTACCTGAAAAGACATGGACTCAAGACATAAATCAGTGAATTCCCCATATGCAGAATATTAATGCCAAGTGAAACAAATTATCTATTAGAAGTAAGCTACCCACTTGTTGATTAAATGACTCCATAGAGGTGTCCATCTTGAAACTAAGATGCTCTTCAATTATTAACCATATTATTTACTTTCTTTCAAAAGCAGCTGTGTTTATGAGTACTGAACAAATGTGTATACTTTCCTGTGCCAGACTTTTGTCTTTGTTTTCAAGCACTGTACTGTGGGATTGAGTGGCAGCTTTGTTAGAAAAAGAAGTATATTAGGGTTTCTACTTAACCCTTTTAGGACTGAACAATTTCTTCCCTTTAGAAGCTGTAAAATAACTGAGCAGTTCTAACTTTGTAAACATTCTGTCTGTGTTCAGCACTGCATTTGCCCCATCTGGAGGTGCTATGCTAATGTCATTTTTTTAAAATCCTGTAGCATGTGTATACATTCAGTCTTAAAAGGGTTATTTTTACAAACTGTGCACCTGTAAAGTTTCTTAGCAATAAGGTAGAAAAATGAGCAAGTTTTTACCGTAATTTTGTAGAATTAATTGCTCAGTTCCATATTTCATCAAGAAAAACCCTGCAATATGGGCAGTTCTGAGGATTAAATAAAAGTGAAATGTAAACCACGTAAAAGTGTTTTTGTCAAGTGTACTCTGTGTGTGTATGTGCATATACTATCGGGTTTCATTTTTTTCTACAAGGCTAAAGATAAAATGCCGTGTTACTGTTGATGTGACAAACGTAACTGAACATCTGTATGATTATACCATAAAAGTGGTTATGATTTGATCAGGTGTTGAAACTTGCCAAGTTTTTGTGGATTTTTTTCAATGTTAACCAAGGAATATGTTTGGGGTTTTGGTTTTTTGTTTTTGGTTTTGGTTTTTCGAATGAACAGTGAGGTCATCTATGGAACCAGAACAACACAAAAGAAGACCAACCCCAGGAGTGGAAAAGTCATCAATAGTTGTGAGGCTGTGCACACTGGACTCCACTTAAACGGGATATGGAATGTCCAACCAAAAATCTAAATCGGTTTCATTATTGCTTGTATTATTGCTGGAGTTAGATAAGAAACTGTTTTTTCCAATAATGTAAAAAAAAAAAAAAAAAGGTTCACTTTTTATATTATTTATTAAATAAGAAAAAATGAACTGTGTTTAATTGTTTAACTTTAGCAACTTTATTATTGCAACTAGTATACCTGACTTATTTTCATCCTTTTCTTAGTTGCAGACTGCCTGATACTTCTTTCAGTCGGTTACTAATTAGAACTAGAAGTTTAGCAAGCTAGCTTATTTCTTGCTTTGACAGAATACTCTAGGAGGGTCATAAGGAACAACTAGAAATTATGTGCTCTTCTAGTTTGCAAGCGCAAGTGACACAGTCACTTGAAAAAAGTTTCTGAGATGGGAAGTGGACACAGCAGAGAGAGAACTTGGAATGGCAGAACCCTGCCAGTACTAGTTTTGTATTAAACTAATGCAAGAATTGCTAGTTTATCCATAAGGCTGCAAAGGGGCCAGAAGTGGTTGTTAAGAAGGTGTGGCAAGAGCAAGAGAGAGAGAGATTTCATTGGAAAAAATAGATCATTTGACTACAAGGAAGCATTACAGATTTTTACTGAAACATCTGCAAAGGTGAATGTCATTGTTATTAAGACACATGAAATAGCCAGAAACTCAAGACTGGTAGAGCTTCTGCTGTTTGAAACAGGGACAGTATGGGCAGATTACATTTCAAAATTGTGCTAAAGACTCTTGCAGTCTGGTTCTGGAATGATAAATTGATTCTTCCGGAACAGAATAGAAATTAGATCTGAAGTTTTGGCAAAGAGAACAGTCACTTGCTAAACTTCAGTGTTGGTACAGTTGGAAGAAGCTGTGTGGGATGGTGCTGGTCTTAGATGAAGAACTACAGATATAAAAAAATGTCTTCATCTAAACCTTGGCAATTAGCTATATAGATAGTCTCAGTAATAAATCCTGTTAAAATCTAGAGCAGAGGATTAAAAGGAGAATGGTGTGAAATTATTTGGCTAGAGGAAAGGATTCATTTGGAGAATTACATGCAATATATGCCATTTCAGAACATTCGGAATTACAGAACTGGGACAGGTAGTTTACTTTTCGCAGTGCCCTATTTGGATTGGAGTTGCATGCTTCTGAGAAGAGCAGAAAAAACCTGTGTGTGCTCAATTAGTGTGTCCGTAAAGGATATTTACTTCTGATATCCAGTAGCGCATTCTTAGTGTGAGGCCAAAACCATGAAGAGTTACAGCCCATATTATTTATTTAAGAATACTTTTGTATTGAATATCAACACTAATTATGTATGCTAAAGAGAAATAAGTTGAGGAAGTCTTGATTCTCTATAGAAGCAAACTTGCAAGCTAACTGCTGTCTGAAAAAGATCTGATAAAGCCTGAATTTGACATCTTTCAGGTTCTCCATCTCCTTCAAGTATGGAAAAGGATGTTTAAAGTTTGATGTTGTCTTTTCCATGTGCTATTGCCTTTGTATTCTAGTCTCAGTTCTGTTACTTTTCATGTGTGCTTTTCCAGATCCTTAATTAGATTGC